CCTTATAATAAATACATTTAGGGGTGGGCCTAAAAAAGAACCTTAATAAATACATATGCAATAAATACTAAAGTAAATTACACTTTTTTTTGTTAATATCCATTATTAATTTAGTCTTTACTTTAAACTAATTACACTTTTGAGTAGTGGTGTTCAACAAAACCGTTGTATCGTTCAAACTGGTCGAACCAAGTTAAATCAGACCGTTTTTGACGGTTTGAACGGTTTGACAGTCCGGTCTAAAAAATAGTCAAACCGCTAGATCCGGTCAAATCTGGGGTTTAAACATTTTTTGAGCTGTCCAAACCGAACGAATTGTCCAAAATACATATGTATTGATTATATTTAGGTGTTGTTTGTTTTTTAACAGGTGTTAAAATTTGAAATCTTATTTCACTTCTGATTGATAAAATGTGGTGTTGAAATCTAAAAACATAATCAATAAAACTAATTGTTTTTTAGACTGATAAATGTCTGAATTTGTTCTAATTTTTACCCATCAAAATATTATGGTACTGAATTTATATATAAATTTATACAATTTCACATATTTAATCCTCATTATTACGAAATTTACATCCAAATTATAAAAATTAGCATTCATTATTATGAAATTTACATCCAAAATATAAAAATTCGCATTCATTTAAACGAAAATATGTCATTGACGGTATTTAACATATTTAATTCTATTAACATACATCTGTTGATCCAAATACAATAAAAAATATGAACAAAGTTTTGTAGCAACTAAAATTCTTATCAACAGTTCATCCCAATCATGTCATGAAATTAGTGACAACAAATAACATAATAGAAACAAATACCTGGATGAAGAACGATGACATTTTCCTAACGTCAATATATAAAAACTTGGTGAGGATAAATGATAGACAGATGGGATCAAGTGACATATATTGATCAGATCAACAACTTTAGATCGATTGAGACCGTGGACCCGATTTAGGTTAATCGATTGAGAGAAGTGAGGATTGATTTGGTAAGGATCGGTTGGCATAAATGATCGATTAAGGTTAATCTATTAAGAGATGAGAGATTGACAAACATTGTTGTAGAAGGTTTAGAGAAGAATAAGGATGTGTTTGGTACACTGGACAATACATAACAAAACAGAATAAAGATCCTTGTTCCACGTTTAGCAAGACTTTAATGTGGAGTAGACAGGAACATGACTGTGGAACAAAGTCGAATATGTTGTTCCACCCCATATTTTTATGTTGGTGGATCTCTTTACTTTTATTCAACTTGCTTAATGCCTTTTCTAACTTTAGAGATAGATATTTCTGTTATAAATCAATATACTATTTTTTAATAGTGTTATAGTGATAGAAATTTCATTTTAGATATAGATATCATGTTTTTTAGTTTTAAGCCCATAAGAGGCTCAAACCGCCTAGATCCCCTTATTGTGGTACAGTTTGACTGGTTTGGTCATTTGCTACCAAATCGCTCGGTATGAAAATTTTCTTAACCGCCATTCTGGTTTGGTTTATGGTATTATGGGTTAAACCGTCCAAATCTAACCGCAAACACGACTTACTTTTTATCTTTGTGATTGTCACTTTGTTTCGCTTTTGGTCTTTGTGGCTAATGGTATTAACAAGGTTCATTAACTCTAAGGCATTTTGCTAACTTTTTTCATTTTTTTAACTTTATATTAGAAAATAAACAAAAATATTATTACATTACGTATACTTAGCCTACCTCTTTTCTTCTCCAACAGTAGACTTCTTCGGCCACCATGGTTCGTCGATCCTGTCACTTGCTCCCCCCCCCTCCCCCTTTACGACCCTTCTACAACTCTGGTCTCTTCCCTAGATATGGGGTTTTAATAGTCAAACAACATTTTCAGTGCCCATTTCTCCTTGCACACATAACATTTACGACGTCCCCTTCCCCTTTCACACTGTAATATTTTGGTTATTACTCAAGGTATTTAATACGTGATTATTTGATTTAATAATTACGTGATAGCATGATAATTGATACATGCCGGTATGAAAAATTTGCGAATTAATTGAATATATATATATATATATAT